GGGAAAAGAGGTGCAGTTCTTAGTACGTCTCTTCATCCCAAAGCAGACCACGCCAACACTCAAACCACGATGGTTTAGTTAAGTGTTGTATTTGTGTCTCTTTTACAACAAACTTCCTAACCAGATGTTGTAAGAACAAAATATAAGGCCATGCTATGAAACACTACGGTTTTTGTAAAAAAATAAATAAAAATACAGCTTTCTGACTTACTTACAAAAAGAAAGAAAGTTGCTTTTGAATATTGTTAAGCCTTTACATAGAAACAACCTGTGATATTCACAGCATTTATGTAGTCATTTTGTGAACAAGTGTTCCAATATATGTTTTTGGGGTGAAACATAAACTATTAAGCCGGCCACACAGTCTCTGTTCTCCATGATGAAATCTTTATTTTATTTTTTTTTTTTTTACACAGCGAACTTTCAAACCCACAAGAGGAGAGTATTTGATACTCAAAACAGAGTATCATTTTTAAAAAGACATGGGCTATACAACATGCCATTGGAAAAACACTTACCTCTTTTCACAGGAGGCAGTGTCAATGTCCATGCTCTGCGATCGGGACAAACTCTGGGACTGAGTCTCAAGGCTGTTGGAGGGGGAGCTGGAGAGGGAGCTCACACCCTCGCTGCTCTGACTACCATATGCCACCCCTGCAAAAGCAGAAACAAATTTGAGTCTTAAATAAGAATTTTTCTTCTTGGTTCAGGAAAAGGTGTTGTATTGTAGCTCTGGCTTCAAGTTAGATGGCAAGTGTAGGTTTTGTTTGTTTGCTCTTCTAGACTGCTCGAATCTCTGCTGTCAAAGCCCCCCCACTTTGGAGAGACTTACCGTAGAAGATGAGAAACAGTTTCATCTTCTAGGTCTCCTCCAAAACGTATCCATTATGGTTCATTTATATTTCTGTCCTTGCAGCCTTGGATTTTAGTCTGTCATGTCTTGTTTTCACTTTACATTCCTCATGTTATGATGCCACTGATTTAGTTTTTGTACAATATGGTATTGAGATTTAATAAACAGTTTATAAGTTTGTTTTTTGTCATCATTTCCAACTAACTCTCAAGCTAATCTATAGAAACACTTCATAGATTAGACATGATTAAGCAGTTACTTAAAGTTTTAAATATTTGTCCAAAAAAACAATTGTTTAGCCACACTGGCTTAGTAAAGGCTCAGATTGGCATTTTTACGATCAACCAGTGCGCCATCCCATAAGCGATGATGAACACCCAGGATCTTAATGTGGATGAAAGACTGGAACATCATTACCCTCATTACACTGCTTGGGTCAAGAAGAATACTTAAATATTTTGTGAATGGCAAGAAGAAAAATCACAAATTTTGACCACCCCACTGGCCCTACAAGGTAGCCTACTATAGCAATAACAACACATGAACATACAATACATGGCTCACTAGTGTTTTCTTCTAGAGCTGTCCATGAAAGCAACAATTCTCACGCTTTACCACAGGCCAACATTGGTGTAAAACAGGGACACTGGTGATTGCAACAAGATGCTGCTGTTTGTGTTCACGTCATTCAGGGGTGTACCACTGGTTCATGCTGTTTAAATATTAAGTACACAAATATAAAAAGGTCCCTTTCAGTGTTGCACTCAAACTCAAACAACCACGGTTGTTTATCTTCCAAGCCTCAGAGACAACGTGTCACATGCCCATTTGCGTAAGATGATAGGGTTAGACTATAGATCACAAAAGAGGTTGACAACAATAACTCCATGGTGACATCCGGAAAAAGCTAACTGGATCCTGACCTGTTGCACACATCAAACCTTACTGTCAAGATGTAACCTAAAGTATTGCCTGCAATACCAGTAATTAATACAGATTTGCTAAATACATCCCAAAACCTGTAGATCTTATTCAGTTCTTACCAGAAGTACCCATAGGGGATGTGGCAGGGGTACCACTGTGGACATTGAGCCCCAATGAGTGAGAGGCAGCTGGTGGCAGGGGCTGGGGTGCGGCACCTGAGGGTCCAGGGAGCGGTCCAGGGGGAGTCTCTCTCTGTGGGGATGTCAGGGGTGTGCTGAGAGGGGTGTTGGGCTGTGACGTCTGTCCCCCTGCCAGCCGTGCCAGTCGCCTTCTGCGAATCTTTAATAAATATACCAGCAGATTCACATGTTCACTAAAGGTTCCTATGAAAGCTCACTGTACATACAAAGGAAATATGGGCTTGTTATAACAGGACTATCAAATGTATATTGCCCATTAAATGATAAGCCTATTTTTTGTCTCTGGATAAGTGATTGGCAAATTCAGCCAGAATGTGACTCTATGACGATTCGTTCATTTTCATTACCCATCTTTGATTATTAGTCCCAGACAATTTGTAAACAATTGAGTCGATTTTGAAGAGACACGGTCTTGAATTTAAAAGGCAGGCCTTGTCGAATGGATACAATTTAACCTACATTACGAACTAAGTCAGATTTGAGCACTAATCGTGATCAATCGTGCAACTCAGCTGAAGACCTTAACTTAGCAAATCAACACTCAGTTGCGAGTTGATCGAGTTACGTTAGTTAAATACGGGTACATGGTGACGAAGAGAAATCTTCAATGTTGTGTGTGGTTCCAGGGGAACCTCTCAGTGGGCACAGAGTCGGCCCACATTGGATTGCACAATGGTGGCCCGGTGTGTCTTTTATGCTGAGTCGTCTAGCAGGCTAATTTTTTGTGTTAGCAAAACAACGTTAGCAACTGTCAGCTAACGTTAGCTTACCGCAAGAAGATATGCCAAATCAACTCGGTAAACACAATGAAACGTTATCTGTCGAATTATGACCTGTAGAAAACACCTTCCAAATGAAAGCAATTGATGTATTTACGTGAATGTTGTTGTTTTATAAGAAAACAATGTTATCCATGGGCCAGCTTGTGCACAGCTTCTAGCAGTATGTTAGCTAGTTAGCATTGTGCTCCGGCTAAATTAAATTAACGTACACAACGGTGACAAAAACATACGACCTGCATCCAACTTCTAGTAATTTTACTCTTTTATATTAAACTCTCCTAAATAAATATCATGTGTTACGTTGGATAACACGGACTTATGTGTTGAGCTAACTTGTAAATGGGATTTTATCGCGGATACATTTCTTCAATTTAGACTAAGCTAGCCTCTGAGCTAGCTTTAGTAGCAAGTCGGCTAGTAGCAAGACAATTTGACAGGATGTCCAAAGGAATGGAAGACATTGGTAAACGTACGTCTTAGTTATAACGTTAGCAAAACACCGCGAAGTTAATTAATGGCACTCGCAGTGTGCGTTTTTCCATTGTCACCTTACCTCATCTGCGCTCAACTCCTCCATCGCAGCTAAGTTAGCAAGCTAATTCACTTTCAACTGCTTTTATGTGTGCCAGCCAGAGCCAGCTAGCTAGCTTGTATTAGAACTAAATATGCATAGTCTAACTCGTTCAACTAATGTGTGTCAGTCTTGATTGTCTTCAAGATAAAAACTAGGACACCGGTATACGGAGGGTAGCAAGATACAGTTCCTCCAAAAACCCTCTCGTTTGCAAGTTTTCTACCAAGAATGAAACAAAAAGAAAAGTAGCTGGCTATTATACGTCAAAATATAACACCGGCCATTTTGGATCTACACAGTGTCACGTGACTAAAAAGACCAGCCTACTGGAGGAGGTGTGAAGGTACACTGAGTCGCGGTCACACAGATACATTTAGTATGTCACCTGTGGTATGGATTTTTTGTAATAAACAAATGGTTTGCATTGCTAATGGTTTGGCTGCCAACTAGTTAATCATATCCATGCTTATGTTTCCCTTTCTCCCTTATAAAACAGCACACACTGTGTTGTTGCACATGAAAACAGTGAGTGCTGCACAAGGTCACTACAAACAGATTTTATTGAACTACACACTACATTAGTAGCTATAGATGACAGTTTGTTATATAGGATATAGTGTAAGACTCTTTGTAATAAAGCACAGATTTATTATATCACAGAGCCTGCCTCATCATCACCTGTGGCCAGATCTATGAGTGAGACTACTATGCAAGGCAAGTTTATTTGTAGAGCAACTTTCAACAACAAGGCAATTCAAAGTGCTTTACATAAAATACAAAAGCAACATAGGGAAACTTAAAAAAGACATTGAAATACATTTTTAAAGAGTTAAGTAGAAAATAAAAACAGCATAAAACAGGACAGTAAAATTTACAGCCTTACATTTAATTTAATTAAAGGCAGTGGTAAAAAGAAAAGTCTTCAGTCTTGATTTAAAAGAGTTGACAGTTTCAGCAGACTTGCAGTTTTCTGGGAGTTTGTTCCAGATATATGGAGCATGAAAACTGAACACTGCTTCTCCATGTTTAGTTTTGACCCAGGGGACAAAAAGCAGACCTGTCCCAGACAACCTGAGGGGTCTGGATGGTTCATAACCAAACAGAAGATCAGAAATGTACCGTCAACCTAACCTACCAACCCAACCTAACCATTCAGTGCTTTATAAACCAACAGCAGTAGGCCTACTTTGAAATCAACCTTTGGCAGACAGGAAGCCAATGTAAAGACTTCAGAACTAGAGTGATGTGATCCACGTTTTTGGTCTTAGTGAGGACTCAAGCAGCAGCATTCTGAATCAGCTGCAGCTGTCTGATAATTTTTTTAGGGAGACCTGTAAAGACACCGTTACGGTAGTCGAGTCAACGGAAGATAAATGCACGGACAAGTTTTTCCAGGTCCTGCTGAGACATAAGTCCATTAATCCTGGATGTATTCTTCAGGTGATAGTAGGCTGACTTGGTAATTGTCTTAATGTGGCGGTCCATGACTACACCAAGATTTGTGGCTTGGTTTGTGGTCTTGCTTACATTACTGAATGAAGCTGAGCCCTGACTTTCATTTGTTCTTCATTGGCACCAAAAACTACGACTTCAGTTCTGGCACATCCAATTGTTGATTTGTATTAGCATGCAATCAGAAAAATAAATAAACAATATGACACTCAGACTTCTTGCAAAAAACACTGTATTATACATAATTCATATACATCTGTATTCCAAATATACTACGCCTCAGTTTCTGTACATTGAGTATAAATGTATCTACAAGGGAATGTCAGGACAGCACAAGCCGGAGCAAAGAACATGTGGTAACTCAAATTTGTCAAATCAGACAATAGAGATTAGAAGGAAACAAAATGTTTGCACAAAACAGAGCCTGCATGAACATTTTTCTTTTCTCAGCTGAAAGTAACCTTCGATGTTATCTGCCAAAAGTAATGCAGTGATGCCATCTAGCGGTGTAAATCCCAACCCTGACGGGAAAGACATTTTCTAATGTGAAGTCACATTACAGAGAAAATGACACATTAACTTTTAGTGTGGTTTTAGGGTTTAGAGTGGTCGATCACATGATGCCTTTCAGCACAGAGTAACTTCACAGAAAAATGTTCATTGCGCTTCACTTCACTTCTTTCTTCTTAAAAACCTGTTTACAGACTTGTCCTTCACAGTACAGCTCCTGAGGGGGGAAAAAGGTCACAGAGATATTTATTTAATGTGGTGTTAAAATAAAATTTCTATAAAAAGTACAAGAATTTAAGGGGGAGGGGGGGGGGGTTCCATTACAAACAAATATGATTCAGTTGTCCATATTCTTACCAGATGTAGCTTGTCATCTTCAATCCAGTGAGCCCAACCCCGGTCCCTCTTCTCTCCAATCTGTTCACACACCAGTTTGTTCCCCTCCCATGTCACCAGTGACTGCACAGATGGCAGAGAAGTACACAGTGTAAATCACAACACACAACCGTTTTAGCAGCCCACATAAAAGGTAAAACACATCCCACGTGTCACATACAAAAACACTTGTAATCAAAAAGCTTGTTATCACTTTAAACACAATTCTCTGCCATCATCCTCTCGTCTTCACCTTGACGCGTCTGTCGTCCAGTCCCTTGGTAAACTCCTCAAACTCCTGACCCACTCTAAAGGAGATGGTGTAGTTTCGGAAGGGGCTGGTAGTTTTGATGATGTACTGGTCCCCCTGCTGCTCAATCACCTTCCTCTGCTTCAACTTCAGAGCAATCTTGCGCAACTGAGGGCTGATACCTTCAACAAAAAGAAGAGTTTTACCTGAATGCAGTACAGATCTTGCAGACACTCTCCCCCATGCTACAAACACATTCTCTCATCACACAGTCCCATGCGTACCATAAATAGCACTCCTACAAAAGCAAAGCCACATTTTTGTCATTCGTTTCCCTCCTAGTGCTCTATTTAATGTTGTATAATTTTATATCTGAGAACATTGTTGCATTATAACAACATGCTTTAAGGACTTACCCAGTGCGACCATGAAGCCCTCAAGGTTGACATTGCTGATCATGTCCCATGTACAACAAAGGTTGTCGGGCATTTTTGATGACCTTTTTCCTCCTCCTCCTCAGATGTTGGTGTGTGTGTGCGCAAAGAAAATGTGATCCTTAAACTCCTGATGAGGAGCTCCTAAAAGAATCTGAGACTATGCTGTTTTATGAGACACCTGGAGGTATAAATGTAACTGTGCCCTCACCTCATTCGCTGTCACCTGAAGACCATGTGAGGATGAGGGAGGTGCTCCCATCAGTGCCAGGGTGGAGATCGGAAGCCAGACGTGTTAGACTGGTCTCATGTTCGCTGACAAATAAAACCGTCGTTCACTATTTCCCTAGGGTGTTGTACGTTAATTGCCTAATCACTCACGTAAACACAATGAAAACTATGTTGTACCTAACGTTTGGAGGAAGGCCTTTCCTTGTTCTTGTGAATTTCTGTGCAAAACCAGTCTTATTTTTCAGTTATAAAGTAATGTAAAGATTATTTTATATAGCACCTTTCACAGACAAGGTAACAAAGTGCTATACAAGAGTAAAATAGTAAGGCCATATATGTAATAAGAACAACAAAAGCAACAACAGCCTAAAAATAGTAATAAATATCAAGTCAATAACATTTTTTTGCCAACCTCAAAGCAAGAGTCAAACACCTGCTGTTTTTATGAAGCTGACCTATATTTAAATGGCATATCTTTCTCTGCAAGGAGGAAAATATCGTTGGCATGGGTAGTTGAGCTGGTATGAAGCGTGGAAGGAATTCAAGCAACTCAAGTTTGAGAGAAAAAAAAACAAAAACATGGAGCAGTTCCAAACATTAAGGTGTTTTTTTTTCTCCCACTTCCAACTAAGCTACGAGCATTACAACTCAAGATGTACCGCAGAAAGACCATGTCAGACTTTACATGTGCACAAACTCCGTCTCGGGCCCCTTATACTAACATGAATGAACTGTTTAATAACATAAATATGACTTTGTGATGTTGTAATGAGCATCAGCCATAGTTTTAACCCAGCTACTTTGCACAGGGCTTTTTAAGTTTATTAACTTTTTAACTATATTCAGCTTTCTGATGTGATTTAAAACCACCACTCCAACATTAAAAGTAAATCAAACTCCAACTCTGATACTCATGTGATGTGATGTAATCAAGTTACTATATACATTCATTTCCACACACTGCTATCACAGTCTTTGTTTGGCTGCAGTTTGTTATTTCAGCTGTTATCTGTTCTGTGAAAGATTTAGTTGACAATTTTAATCAATGTGTCAGTTTGGCCCTTTTCTAACGGAGGATGTTTCTGTGTGACAACAGCATCATAACAGAAATGAAATGCTCGAAAAAGGTGGAACAAAGTGGGTTGTTTATTTAATTTCCAGTAAGTAACAAATCACACCTTCATTTTCAAATCTAAAAGTAAAGTAAACATGTTTAAAGCATACTGCCCAAGAGATTGCACGGATGGAAATTCTGCTCTAGGTACAAAAATATGAGTTGAGCGAGCATGTGTGGTAAAGCAAATAAAAAGATGAATTTGTTTCTAATCATATTTCATGCAATACCATGGTTTTCCCTACAATTAGGGGTCTCTGTACTTTCACAGCACCTTAGCTAAGCGTGTTTACCCTTGACTGAGGGTGGGGCTCGGCTCCTACACACACACACACAGAGACAGAGCAGACGGCAGAGCAGAGAGGCTGCAGTGGAGACAGTGACCATGTGAAGTGAAGGTAACGTTTTACTCAAGTAAAAAGCAGAAAAGCTGCTTTGTCTGCAGTTGTTGTTATGCTTGTTTAGCTATTAGCGAATTGTTATGAACAAGCTAAAAGGAAAGGTGTCTTCATGTAGCATTATGGTTTATCTTAGTTTACCAAATTACGGCATTTGGCAAATTATTTGTAAGCTGCTGGCTGAGACAAACCTGCCCCTCCTCCCTCTGCCAGTGGTACCTGCAGGCAGCGATATACACTCACCTAAAGGATTATTAGGAACACCATACTAATACTGTGTTTGACCCCCTTTCGCCAGAACTGCTTTAATTCTACGCGGCATTGATTCAACAAGGTGCTGAAAGTATTCTTTAGAAATGTTGGCCCATATTGATAGGATAGCATCTTGCAGTTGATTTGTGGGATGCACATCCAGGGCACGAAGATCCCGTTCCACCACATCCCAAAGATGCTCTATTGGGTTGAGATCTGGTGACCATTTTAGTACAGTGAACTCATTGTGATGTTCAAGACCAATTTGAAATGATTCGAGCTTTGTGACATGGTGCATTATCCTGCTGGAAGTAGCCATCAGAGGATGGGTACATGTTGGCCATAAAGGGATGGACATGGTCTGAAACAATGCTCAGGTAGGCCGTGGCATTTAAACGATGCCCAATTGGCACTAAAGGGCCTAAAGTGTGCCAAGAAAACATCCCCCACACCATTACACCACCACCACCAGCCTGCACAGTGGTAACAAGGCACGATGGATCCATGTTCTCATTCTGTTTACACCAAATTCTGACTCATACATCTGAATGTCTCAACAGACATCGAGACTCATCAGACGAGGCAACATTTTTCCAGTCTTCAACTGTCCAATTTTGGTGAGCTTTTGCAAATTATAGCCTCTTTTTCCTATTTGTAGTGGAGATGAGTGGTACCCGGTGGGGTCTTCTGCTGTTGTAGCCCATCCGCCTCAAGGTTGTGCGTGTTGTGGCTTCACAAATGCTTTGCTCATACCTCGGTTGTAACGAGTGGTTATTTCAGTCAAAGTTGCTCTTCTATCAGCTTGAATCAGTCGGCCCATTCTCCTCTGACCTCTAGCATCAACAAGGCATTTTCGCCCACAGGACTGCCGCATACTGGATGTTTTTCCCTTTTCACACCATTCTTTGTAAACCCTGGAAATGGTTGTGCGTGAAAATCCCAGTAACTGAGCAGATTGCGAAATACTCAGACCGGCCCGTCTGGCACCAACAACCATGCCACGCTCAAAATTGCTTAAATCACCTTTCTTTCCCATTCTGACATTCAGTTTGGAGTTCAGGAGATTGTCTTGACCAGGACCACACCCCTAAATGCATTGAAGCAACTGCCATGTGATTGGTTGATTAGATAATTGCATTAATGAGAAATTGAACAGGTGTTCCTAATAATCCTTTAGGTGAGTGTATATAGATATATATGAGTCCTTCCTCTGTGATTCACTGCATTGCCTAATTATATATATATATATAATAAATTAATTCTAAACCTGTTCTGAATTGATTCTATTTTTAAAATGATTAAAACAACAACAATTCTTTAGTAATGGAAAAAGAACTGGCAAGACTACTGATATAAAGGTAGGCTGAAAATTGTTTGGTTAAGACAAAGATAAAATCGTAACTGGCACACAGTGCGATCACTCACAAAGATGTGAAAGGTTACTTCAAGACATCACACCTACTTTATCAGTGAGCATATTTGTTTCACTTTTCTACTTGCTTATGTTCCAGTGTAATGTGAAAAACTATAACCTGTGTTTTTTTAAATAAATGTTGTAAAGATAACAGTCTAAAATTATGTAAAGATACATAGTTATTACTCCCCGCCCACCCTGCTACCACAGCACCTAAGTCCCCTACAAACCCAGGGAAAATGCCATATGCCATAGTGTACTCTGACTATTTCACACATAGTTTTGAATCTCTAGTTCAAATAACCACACAATTATTAGTAGCAATGACATTTTAAAGACCTCCCAGACAATTGAAATGTTGCTCATTTATTGTTTTTGAAAGGTGTACTTTTCCACACACATACACAAAACCTAATATGAAACTGTTACTCATTTCACTCAGAAAAGTCTATGCAGGTTTATCTTCTTAAAAAAAACATACCTGTTTTTTGGAAAATACTACTTCATATAAACAGGCACTGGTGGAAGTTTAAATAAACTCTCTAGATTGTGTCTGATGTGTTTTAAATTCACAGTAAACCCACAGCACTTAGTGTAGACAGCTTGCACTTTGTTTCTGCAGCTGTAGCAGTAAACTTTCTCAGCTCGAGGAGGCACCCAAGTTTCTCTGAAGAGGCTCTAGAACCACGTCGGCATTTTTCTTCTCGCTCTCAGCACTGTAGAGGCTGTGCTCCTGTATGTAACGAATCACGCCGTCCGGCAGCAGGTACCTGACGGTCCGGCCTCGACGCAGTGCCCGGCGCACGTGAGTGGCTGAGATGTCATTGGTCACCCATTCGTGGACCAGGTGGATGTTCTTGCGATACTCCCACAGCATGTCCGACTGGTGGATGAACTTGTGGGGGTCGTTGCCACTGCGGGTGATGCAAACCAAACCGTGGCCCAAAATCTCAGCAATATCCTCCTGCTTCCACAGGTTGGGGATCCCAAAGGACTCCAGGACATCAGCCCCACATAGCAACATTAGCTGGGGGCTGTCTGAGCATGAAGACAGAAAAAGATGTCTTAACTTCAACAATAAAAGCAAAGGCAAATGCAAATAAAAACAGACAAACTAAGATTAAAAATCTCTAAAAATCGGAGTGAAGAAGAAAAGAGAATATAAAATTGCAAGAAAGGGAAAACCTCAAGAAGCACAATGTATTTATAAAAGAGTTCTCACAAAATTTACTTTAAAAGAAACATAGCCGTTAAGTTGATTTTAGTAATGATGGAGGCCATTGCTCTCTGGTAATACTAGGAAACGACTTCAGCTGGATTCAAGTGATTCTGCATACTCTAACCACATAAATATAAGTGTTATTGTTAGTTATGACTTGTTAAAATCTTATTGCAGACTTCGTGGCACATGAATACACAGCACAGTGTGCACTATCTCCTGCTCATCTTTATAAACACTCACACGATAGCCAAACAGTTTAAGCTTTTTGTCACTAATGAGAAGGCCGCCATGTTCCATCGGAGTCACTGATGCGCCGACGCTCATCTTTTGGTGTCTTACATCTTGCCTGTCTTTTACTGTAAGTGGTGCGATTGGGTGTCACACCACACCCCGCTTGTCCGCACCTTCAAACCATTGTCTCCTGTTTTCAGTCTTTCAGTTAGGCTGAATGCAGTAAATCACGCTTACAGTGTATGCGTGATCAGACTTGTCGCCCGTCTGGAATCAGGGAGGAGCTGACCATGAGAGCACGTTACACAATCACATTTCCACACATGGCCTACCTCTCCTTTTGTGATGAGATGACTCCTCAAAATAACTCTCCTCCACCATACGTCTCTTTTTTGCGTACTTGACCGTGTCCACATGATCATTGTTCTGCTCTGCTGCTAGTGCTTCATTATAGTGATGACTAAGTGGATACAAACAAAATTAAAACAGCATCAAAAGATCCAATTTTTAACAAATCAAAACTTAAGAGGGTAATATGTCAGTATCCAGCCAACATACCACCTCAACATTTGAACCAAATAAATGCCCTTTAACCCTGGAGTAAAATGTGTTTTTATGATTATGCTTTGCACTACGTATGTCCCTTATTTACCGCCTAACATTTTGTGTAAAAAATGGACTGTAAGTTTACTTTTAAGTACTTTAAGTTTGGCTTTATATTTCGCTTTGTTTAAAACTCCCAATTTATTTATGTAGATTGCCTTGTGAGTCGGCAGTTTGGATACTTTGCCAGATTGTTTTTTTACCATCAACATCAAATGATTCCACTTTTTAAAATATCAAATGATAAAATTAGAATTTCTCTCTATATCTATCTATCTATCTATCTATATCATCATGTTTATTTCTTTTGTTTGCATTGGAGCAACAGAAAAAAAAGCCACACAGAAGTCCACAAATGGACTGGACACAATTATTGGCACCCTCAACTTCATATTTGGTAGCACACCCTTCGGAAAAAATAACTGAAATCAATCGCCTCCTGTAACCATCAAGGAGTTTCTTACACCATTTTGCTTTATTTGTGTTGTTTGCAAACACAAACAAAATAAATAAAAAGGAGAATATCAAAGCATTTGTAATTGGGAGAAGTAGTGCATTGTGTGACAGACATGCCCATATTTTTGGCCATGGCTGTAACTGCCACGCTTTTAATGCACTGTATGGATGAGCAGCACAAATGACATGACACAAGAGTTACTACAATGTCATAGAAATTCAGCTATTTGCTCCAACTTAATGCCACCATCCATCACTTGCACTCAAGGATCACGTCAAATCTTAAACTGCCACCGAGGCTGCTTGTAAATCATGAATTGAACAGCCATTACTATGCTAAGAGATGTGATGAATGTGTGGCTTTGGGTGTAGTTGTGGACGGAGACGAATTAGAGGAAAAGAGAAAACAGCAAGCAAGGAAACTCTGATTAAGAATACTGAAAGGTCTGACAGGTATTGTCTTAGATCCTTTAGCAGATTTTCTCACGCCTATAATAACAACTCAAGACAAAACACACTACTAGCCTTGCCCGTAGCAAGCACAGGCACCGCCACCAACAAAACATGATAAATGTCAACTAACCGAACAACTTTAGCTGTCTCCACCCACTCCGGCTGCAAGCTCTCCCAGGAGTCTACTGTGATCCAGTCCGAGTTCTCTGTGGCCAGTCTGGTCATCTCCAGACGGTGGCAAGCCTCAATCAATCCTTTCTTTTTATAGCCATCACCAACTGGAGATATGATGCCTTTCACCACCTTGTACTGACCTTAGACATTAAAAGAAGTGGTGTGAACAGATGGTTTACAGTAATAGCACTGCAGATGCAGTAAACTGGAAATTTGAAGGTAATATTTTATCCACAACATGACTCTAAACTCATATGATGAATAAATTTTTAAAGAGTTTGTTCACTCAAATTACAATTTAACATCTCTTCTTACCTCTAGTGGGATCTAGCAACGTGAAATAAAATACAAGGCATTATTACAGTTTAAACTACCCAAAGACGTTTAAAGTACCCAACTACACAACAAAGTAAAAATGAGATCAACCATGACCAGCTACAATATTAAATTATTTTACATATTTACACATCAATAACAATAATCTGATCATATATATATATATTTTTTCACTGCTTTTTTTGAGCAGTGTATATATATATATATATATATATATATATATATATATATATATATATATATATGTTGACAAAACTCTGCTGCATAATACTTTTACTTTTGATACAAATTACACATTATAATAATGTACTTTTTACATTTAATAAACTGAGCATGTAATGTAATGGATGAATATGATTAGTTTTACATTGACTGCTATATTTACTCGAATCATGCTCGAGAAAAGAAGAGAAGCAGAAGCTTAAAACCTGTGTCTTCCAGATAGTCTCGAGCCAGTTCAAACATCCTCAGGTGCATGTTGGTGATCGGATTGAATGACCCGCAGGCCAGCAAGACCACTTTGGTTTCATTTTGACCCTCCATGTCTCAAACTGGGGCAGGGTTCGCACTAAAACAGCAAATATGAGGAACAAAACAAACACTGGTAATTATGTTGGAGGATCATATATCAAAAATCCCTCTGGCTCTCGTACCTCTGGGGTCAACTAACTAATGTTGTATGTTTTGTTAGCTTAATTTAAGATTAGCGCTGTCAACCAGTAGCGACTGTTAACTTAGCTTTGTCTGTAGTCAACGCGAGCTTGCGCCATGAACGTACAGGATGCTCAAGCAGACAAAACATGAACTCAAAGCTGAGCTCGGACAACAGAGGAGGCGTAAATAATGAAAATAGTCATTGTAGTACCCGCAGAAACAGGAGCGACCGGCTGCTCTGTAATGTGTCCCCTGCTTCTTGTATGGGCGTAAAGATCAAGAAATGTGATTGGACGGACTCGACGAGGAAGACGAAGAGAGCCGCACCCACACCGTGAGCTACGTTCACAATCACAAATCCCCAAACTACGAACGCCTCGACTAACAATGAATCACTTTTAACCGTATATGAACGTAGTTTTTCGAGGAATAACAATCCAACGATTCAGTTAATTTTTGTTGAACCCTCGTCAAGCTGATGCAACTATTTAGCGTATCGCACGACTGATTTACAACTGTTTACAAAGAGAGTCCCGGTGAGATGTTTTCCTTTTGCATGCTAGCTAGCTATTCAGCTAACCAACGCTAAACTTCACTGTTTACCTCTCACGTTATAGCACGATTTGAGCTTCCAGCAAATGGATGAATCATTTTTGTCAGTGTAGTTTGTGTCTCGATAAATAAAAGTTTGGTTTGGTTGTAGGTTGTAGTGTTAGCTCCAGCTGCGACATTCTGATGCAGTACAAATAGCATGCTAGGTTGGCGTTAGGTTATGTGTTGCATATTTAGGTAATAATACCAAATAAGTTTCATTTCTGTTGACTGGCTTGTTATGTTTTGCGTTCTCCATAGGGTGGAAATACGATTTTAGCAAAGGATGGCTTCTCGCGGGAAATCAGAAACGGGAAAACTGAGACAAAATATGGAGGAGCAACTTGACAGACTGATGCAGCAGCTTCAGGACCTGGAGGAATGCAGGTGCACTATAGAGACATTCATTAATGTGTAGTGGCTCTTTACTGAATGAGCTAATTTCACAGTTAAAGCTGACAAACAATCTAGTAAATGCTAGAAAGTACTTACATTATTGTATAAAATATATATATTTTCTTCCTGTATCTGATAGTTTCTCATCCTTTCTTTGTTCATTCCAGAGAAGAACTGGATGAGGAGGAATATGAGGAGACAAAAAAGGAAACCTTGGAACAGCTGAGTGAATTCAATGACTCCCTGAAGAAGATCATGACAGGAGACATGACACTCGTGGATGAACTCAGTGGAATGCAGCTGGTATGAACAGTCAGTGGATAATGTGCAACTACTTTGTGTTAAGGGTGCCTTAAAGAGGTCCTATAAAGTGAAAAAGTAACTTTAAATGATTCCTTATAAACAGTGAGTTGTGTAATGTTACAATTTGTCCAATGTTTCTGTCTTTGTCAGGCAATCCAGGCTGCCATTAGCCAAGCATTCAAAACCCCAGAGGTGATCCGACTTTTTGCTAAGAAGCAACCAGGACAGCTGAGAACCAGACTAGCAGAGGTTTGCACTGCAATGTCATGGATATGATGGTTGTGAAGTATATGTTTAACTTCCAACTGCTCAGTCACTCCTTAGTGTTTTTCTGTGTGTTGCTTGGTCTGAAAAGTGTGTAAAGCTAGTGTGTGACATTCTGCGCAGATGGACCGAGATGTCATGGTGGGGAAACTGTCACGGGATGTGTACACGCAGCAGAAAATGGAAATCCTCACAGCCTTGAGAAAACTTGGAGAGAAGGTGAGGAACGCTCGCAGCAGAGATGTGATATTTTTCCACGGGGTCATATATGATTCATATTCAGCTTGCGCTCATGAGTCCACATAAACTCTTGAAGCTGCGCTGACTTATTTTAGTCATGTGGCTGTCACTAGGCTGACAGATCTGTTGCTACAGCAGGCCTAAATCTCACTTCAGAAGGAGCTGTAACATTTTAAACATGTTTTAATTGCCTGATCAAAGCCTGAATTAACAATGCATGACTTATCGCAGCTCACTTCGGAGGATGAGACTTTCCTCACTGAAAATGCTACAGCTACTCTGAGCCAGTTTGAAAAAGTGACCGCAAATTTAGGTGAGAATAAACGCGTGGTTTCACTGAAATGTTTAAACATACAAGTTATTGGACAGAACATTCATATTTATCTTGTTTTTTTCCTTCCCTTTCAGGCTCCGAAGACAAAATTATGGCTTTAGCGAGCTCTGGCGTTAAAACCAAGGCATAGTGAACAAAATGTTGATTTTAACGCTCTGCCTTTAATACCAAGAAAGAAAAGTGCCATTTTGTAAACAATCAGTGCACCCCTAGGCGTTGCTGTTGATGCTAACACTTTTTTTAACAGTATTGTTTCATACCCCTCAAATTTTGTAAATGTCTATCATTTGTCCTGATGGTAGGCTTGCGTGGTATCTAGTTTTACATACCTTCCTGACATTTCACTAGGGTATACGTTATACGAGGGTATTTGTGGGCAAGAGAATAGACTTGGGACATTCTGCACAATCCTGGCATTTTTTAAATAGCCAAGCTACCATCAACAGGGATAGCAATTTATTTTTATTTTTTTTATTCACTGACCCAGATTTTTAAAAAGTACATAAAGTACTCTCTGCAGTGGAAAAAGAAGTAGAAAAGGGTAACTGTACCAAAAGCATGTGGTGTCGAGCCGCACCACGCAGTGGAAATTTCTCAGCTCAGCTGCTTGTTCCACTGGTAGACACTGACCTATGATAGCCTACATCGGCTCAATACAGCATCTTTGGATCAGTTTAGTAGAAAGAGGGGGCGTGTGTATTTTTGACGGTATTGAAAATCGTACCTTTGGGGTTTCTAACCACCCTGGTATAACTTTTTAAAAACTGACACCGCTCAAGTCTACCTGATGGGTGTATTGTTGGTACGAGCATGTGGTTTGTTAAATATAAAGACATGAATGTGAAGGATAGTCATAGCAGTTCAAGAGAAATATTGTGTTGTGGTTTGCTGTATTTCTTCTTGGGTTGCTGTGTCTGTCTTAAAACCTGAAAATTTAGCTTTGTTGTTTTTAAAATGTTGATTTCCTGTACGAGTGCTGCAAATATTCAAGATGTAAATTTATTTTAACTAAACTGTGCTGTCTACAGGGATTTGGACAAAATAACAGAAATACTATGCAAAAGAGAACTTTGAAGGAACTAAATTACACTACAAGTGCAGTAATACTAGTAAGTCTGGCGAAGAAACTGCATTTATCCAGGGCAAATAAAGCGTTAAGATAAAGGTGAAATGAGCACCAATCTGGACTGAATAAATGTGATCAGATGCGTATTTGACCAGTTTGCCTACAAATTGGATTAGAAATCTGCTGGATGGATTAGTTGCCATCTGTTAAACATTGTGGAGGTTTCCACAGCCATCTCACGAGAGTGATTCAGGTTGATTTACAGTCTGTGTGGACGTTTAACAAGTCGTGTAACATGAGGTCACTTAACAGTATCAGATGCAGCTTGTGCTGTTGTTCATGGTGTCCTCATACCGTTAAACCCCCCAGGATTACAAACAAAAAAAGATGAACAGGATGAAATAAAAACTGTTGACATAAGAGTGATGGAGCTGTGTTAAGTGAACATACTGGATGGCAGAATATGAACTAGATGTTCACCTCCTTTCTCTGAAATAACTAGGAGGATCATCCTGAAAAAAAGTATACGTTTAGCACGCATGTTTCCATTATTTTGTCCACCACCTATATATATATCAAGTATTTCAAACTGCTTCGGTTGACAACTGTGGTTCTATATTAGCAGTAATCGAGTTTAATATTGCATTATATTCCATTTTTAAGTTTGACTACTTGAACTTATTTACAGCTTAACAATGCGTTTACAGCATCAATCATAATTTGAAGCATTGTTTCTTCTGAATGTGAGTATTAAAAGAAAAATCAATGGTGTTTATCTTCATTGATTCATGGTTCACCTTTAACATTACAGCATCTGAGGATTGTATTTTCACCACTAGAGGGCACTAATGCTCAACATTTAAGAGTGATTCACTTGTGAGTGATGAAGAAAAACATGAGTAGACATAAGTTATACCCCATCTCATCATCCTTTATTTTGTTTACGAGCAAGCATCAACTTCACTACAATTTGCCTTCCAATTGGTAGAAAAGTGAGAGCAGCTCCAACAAGCACAAAGGAAGCATCCAACCGTTCTGAAAACATCGTCACCTTCCATTTTGAGCAAAGATTTAAAAAGAAAAACTGAAAAAGAAAAACAATATCTGGACGTGTGAAACGGACAATCTGAGAATCAGTAGTGTATCACGTCTCCTTTCTCACTCCAGTCTCACAACCCCACATGGAACGTGCACAAACTTGTGGTTCATGCAAAGTAAATTCCCCTTACATCTTAGTGTTAATACAGTATGGCTGCATTTCAGTTTGTTAGGCAGTGACATTCAATTCAACCAACTTACACTTAGCTCAGGGGCTGATCAGAAAACATCAAACCCAGAAAACTGGAGATGGCGGGAGTCATTGTGCACATATCAGTGACCCACGGTTATTGTAACTTTTAAAATTGCAGTTGAAATGTGGACATGAAGTGTTTGACATAATGAAACTGAGAATTTCGACAGGCTTATACTCTGGTTCGTGTGAAATTCATGCTGCCCTCAAAATCATTTCTCAACAATTCAGGCAATAGGACGCCGTTCAAAATTACCATCCACTATACACAAATAGGTCAGTTAACAGTATACCCATGTATGCTGTCAAAGGAATTTCATAATGTACTGTACATCTTTTTAAAGGTGGATTCCGTCAATGATTTAGTACAATATCTATATAAGATACAATATGGATCTACTTCCTCTACACATCGACATGGACACATGACATCTATGTAAAACATTTTTCACTTTTAATAAAACTAGCAGTGGACTATCGTTACAACAAACTGAAGGGAAATGTAATCCCCAGCTCTTTAAGAAATCTAGCATTAAAAAAAAAAAATTGCCACAAATAAAAAGAGCACGGATGAGTGTTTTTGTTAGACCTGCTAATTGCGCTATGATCGGAAAAAGGCACTCCCATCTCAGCCGGCTCAGACCTGGCAACCTTTTATTACGAGTCCCAAGTCACCATGGAGGGGAGACTGTTCACTACATTTCCGCCACACACCTTTAAAAATTATAAATTAACTGAACCTAAGAAACACGATGGTGCGACTCGAACCCTCGAAAGTAGCCTGGAAACTGTCTCCAAAAAAGAGCCTTGAATGTGTTTCTGAATTCAGTTTTGGCCTCTGAATAGAGACATGCACGCAACGCCAACATTTCCAATCCTGATAATGCCACATTCTGTTCATGCTTTAATTAACGCAAGTTTGGGAAATGTTTACATTTTTACTAGGTACCCAAAAACATGAGACAAACACTAAGTAGTTAAGTGTGACGGTACGTTTGTGTCAGGTTTTGTGAAAGATATATACAACAGTGATGGACGACAGCGTCTGAGGGGGAGATAGAGGTTGGACACATTTTCCCAATCAATAGTATAAGCTCTATGCTAATACCAGAAGGAAAAGAAGTTTACCAAATGTAAACAAATATCTTAATACAACTCTAGAGTACAGTTCCATGTACAATAAAATCTAGTGGTCTACTGCAAAAAAAATTTAATTTTAAGTAGGGCTGGGCGATATGGCCTAAAAATAAAATCTCCGATTTTATTTACTTTAATTCAATTTACGATTTTTTCCGATTTCCCCCCCTACTTAAGGAAAGCAATAAGGTTTGTTGGTCAGTGCGGCTTTGTTCATCGCGGAGAGATTTTCATAATCGGCTGGCTCTCTCTGTTTCAGGTGTTGGAATAGGTTTGTGGTGCTGCTGCCTTTCACTGCGATAGGCTTTAGGCAAATGTTGCAGCGTGGTGTCTGTTGTTCCTCATCTGTCGCAGCAAACCCATACCAGTTCCAAACAACAGATGACTTTATTCCTTTCTTGGGAACAAACTTCCCGCTCTCACCGGTAGCCATTTTGTCGCTTGCTGTTGCTGTTTAGTGTATGATGTTGTCGCTATGGGAAACGAACACTACGGAAACCCCGGGGAGCCAAAAATGTGCTATTACACAAAAACTCGATTTACTTATTTTTTAAATCGCCCGCAACAAAAAATTCGAATTAATTCATTCAATCGATTTTTCGCCCAGGCCTAATTTTAAGATTCAAATAAGAAATCTATCTAATTCTTTTTAAGTGTTTTCCTATTGTAAACTATGCAGTTATACCCTCGGGTGTAATTCGTGTTTTATTATTTCAGGTTAAATACCCGTGCAGAAGGAAAGGGAACTTGCAACAAAGCAACCCTGAAAAGTACTTTCATTTTACTTCTCTCCCCCAAAACAATGCCAGTAACTGCACTATTTAAGCAGGCTCCACTAAAGCTCTGTCAGAATTCTGCTCTTTCAGTAGTTTGAAGGGCTTTTTCCATCCTACTTCTGTCAGCACAGCAAGACTGGGTTACGGATGAAAAAGGCTTTAAAAGCTGCTGAGGAAGTCTCTACTTGTCCAAATACACTGGCAGAAATGTTGGTACCCATATTTCAAGATCAACAGCACTACAGTATCTGCAGGCCTGCGCCGTTCCACGCAAAATGTCAATTTGTACATTAGCATTTCTGTGAGTATGATTAGGAAAACAAAAAGAAAATCCCTTCTGTACAACAGTGAGATCTATTGGGAATGAAACACATTGACGCCTGGAGAAGAGCACTGCCACCTGTGCAAGCAAAGCAAAGCATGTATGAAGCTGAAACCATCCACCAGTTCTGCCTACAAGAAAGCAAAAGAAATTATTTTCCTCTTTGCAAAAAAAAAAAAAAAGAAAAAGAAAAGACAAAATGGACACCACTTTGTCATGGAAACCTCCGCTGAACAGTCCTGGGTTTCTGATCGTGAAGTAGACATTTTTGTACAAGCAAGATGGAACAGCTTTTGCAGAAATTTAGCGACATGCTACAGCCTCTGTGACACAAATATTCTACATTACGTACTGCGTCATTTTAGATATTGGACCCCATTGAGTAGGCCTTTACTAACACATCGACTAATTACATGGTTTCTTTATATTTACAAAATCTTTAAAAAGCAATTTATTTCTCTACACATATGAGTCAAATATCCTCATGCACTAAAAGAAGAGAAAAAAAAAGGTGGAAAAAAACAAAGTAAATGCGATCTACTTGTTAAAAGCATCATTTCGTTTCACTGTGGACTACAAGTCAAGAAAACTCAAGTCAAAGCTACACGTGAGTTTAGCGGCAATTAAATTTTAAAAGTATTAAGCAAAGAATATACATTAGGAAAAAGAATTCTCCATTTGAAAAGCCTTACGTCTGAGAGAAATCAAAAAGTGCAGGGTTGGCTTCCTCACACAGTTCAAAACAAATGTAGGCCAAGTTTTCCTGGGACTTAAAATATAATAAATAAAAAAATAAACAGTAAAAATCAGCAATCCGGTGATGACTACACTACACAGAGTACCACCACTAAGATAACAACAGGAAAGCCTTGACCATATATACGCTCAAGGGAAGGTTTCTTTTCTTTTTCTCATTTTTTTTAAAATCATGGCTCCTTGGACATGAAACTGTAGTGGGTGGGAGTGTGTGCCGAGCAGTGAGCGTGTTGGTGGTGTGTGTGTGTGTGTGTGAGAGCTAGTGTTGAGTGTTAAACGTGCTGCGTTGGGGGAGCGTGTCATTCTAGTAGGTGAGGGTGGAGTCGTCCCACTCCAGCTGCTGCTGTCTGCTGGCCCCCTGCTGGTCCTCCGGCTCCCCGCCCTCCTCATCTTCACTGCTCTCGGACTCCGCGCTCGTGATGTCGTCTTCCTCCTCTCCGTCCTCGCTCTCCTCCTCCTCTTCCTCCTCCTCCTCGCTGCTGTGCTGGTCCTCGTACGTCTGCATTAGAGACAGAGGGAGGGGCTGTTTGTGAAGAGTCACTTTTTGAGACAAGGATGTATACTGTACATTTAGAGAATGAACTGTTCCTTCATGTGTTATAGCTTCATCAGTTTTAAAACCAATCCTAACTTTTTATTAGGTATTAACACAAACATCTTAGCAAATGTTTCTTTGATTGTGAACTGAACATAATTATTTTATTCAAACAAGTGAAGCCTGTACTGGGAATAAAATACCGCATGAAGTTTAGAAGCATTTTTCTGACAGTGTAGTTGCATTTTGAGCTTTAATAATGTTTTTGTTTCAAACATAAGTTTGATTTAAGGTGTGTCATTCCCCTTCTCTCTCTCTCTCTCTCCCCTCCTTATTTCCTGTCATCTCTCTACCATCAGCTGGCTATTAAAGGCATGAAATGCCCTAAATATTATAAAGCAAACATATAAGTTTGGTCTTACTGAATGCAAAACAGTGGAACACAGTTAATTTCTTAGTTCGATGTTTGTGTGTGTTGCATACATTTGCCTTCATCATGATATAACTGATATAAAAAAGATGTAACACGATACTGAATTCAGCTTTTCTGGATGCTTCCTAAACGCTGTTAAGGAGTCAGTTCCCCTTTCATCATTTACTGCTGAACGAGTGTTCATTCCCCACGCCAGAATTCAATTTGGGCCACTTAGTAGCTCTTTTCTACTGCAACCCGTGATGTGATTTAGGCTGACAGTTGCATTTCCCTTAAGCAGCTGTGAACAGTAACGCAGCATGACTTGAAGCCGTTCTTTAAATTAAAAAGAAGGTAGTTAAAGAGTAACTTAACACCACCTGAAAAACAGGGAAGCAAAACACTGCCTTTCCACCTGGTGTTAAGTTACTCTTTAAGTTAAGTTGTGAGCAGCTGTCAAAGTTAAAATTATAAATTAGTTGCCAGACCACAACGTGGCACGACAAGCTGACTCATTTTGGGGTTTTGGAAGACATAAATATTGGTTCTGCTTTTGTGGCTGGGGAACTAAAAATGTTCTAAATCTCCATGAGACCAAGTGGTTGCAAAACAGTAATCTAAATATTGATATGATATTGACATACAGTATGGTTATTTTATTCAAATTAGGGAGGTAACACTCCATAAATGTCCACAACAAAGTCGCTCCCTCCATCCCCACAGGTCTGTCAATCATGAGAGCTCAGATGAAACTAGGCTACAATCGCAGCATCACCCAGAGAGCATTAGCAGGTGAAAAGCTGTCTAGGCTGCAACCCGTCCATATTTAGTTGAAGTGAAATCCCATTTTCCCTTCACAAACATTTCCACTAATTTTACCTCCTCGCAAACACTCTGTTAACACGGTGTGTTGTTACCTCCATGGGGTTAACGGTGATGGTGAGTGCCGAGTCGTCCCAGTCCATCTCGTTCTCCTTGCCGTTCTCCTGGTCTCTCATAGTGCGCTGGTGTGCAGCACGGATGCGGAACACACCCAGGATGATCATAAACACCAGGAAGCTAACGCACACCACAATGACAACGGTGGCAGCGCTGGGAACCACTGCGAGGAAGCAAACACACGCAAAATGAGAGGTTAGGTGTAAACCATGACCAATTTGCACATGGGCACATGCGCACACTAAAACCCTGTTCCAGCTTTATGTGGGGAGACTTCCACATCTGTCTGAGGGCATTTCAAGGTTTATTTTCATGGTGTGTTAGCGCTGATGTTTATGTAATCTCAGTAAACTGCAGATGAATGCTTTGGGCAGTTAGCTAGGTGTGTGTCTTTCTTTAAATAGCTTTTCCTGCCTCCTGCCAACCTGCTGCACTTTGCCCCATATTAGCAGGAAAGGGCCTCTCTTGTGTGGTGGCAGGCTTAGCGAGCCTGACAGCCCAGGGGATTATTGAAGCTGGGAAATAAAAGGTTGTGCTCAGACCACCGCCTGTGCAGATGTCACAGACAGCACTCAAGTGTAATCCCTAAACTTGTGCCATTAAAAAATAAATAAATATGGGCAAACAACCAGTATTTCATACGTGCCCTACTTCTGGTAAATAGACCATCCCTAGCAATGCCTGCCATACCAGGGGCCAAATATCTTTTCTACAGCAACAACAATTAAGCAGATTACTGGTTTGATTATAATGTGTGGCATTAATTTGAACATATTTGTAGATTGCTGTAACTGTAAATTAAATTTATTCTTTGTTTGTGTGTCCGTTAACATGATCAGCTGTTGGTATTTGACTTTAGACGTGATGATTATGCATGACAGATATGCTTCAGTAGTAGTCTTTCTATTGTGCTTCAAGCACCCTGGTAAAAAAGTGGACACAGTCTGGTTTGTATGATGCAAAGGACAGAAGGGGGAAAAAAACATGTCTGACTCCCGTGTTGCAGTACCTGAGGCCTGATGAGCGTTGACCAGGTTGTGACCAGACAGATCCACAGAGGCATGATGCACGGGGTTAATGAAGTTGGGCTGCACCATGGCATTGTTGGCATGCTCCACGGGATTGGCTGTGTGGATCACATTCACCTAGAAAGAATAAAAAGAAACAGAAAAGATGCATGTATACGGTCACAAAATGTGCTCTAGGGGACACAAGACTTTGCTTCAGTAACATTAGGGCACTACTCCTCTTCTGTGAATGAGTCACTGTTACGTGACGTAACCGAAAAATGCTCAGACATACCTCGACTTTGAAGTCATTGCTGATGTAGCGACCGTTGAGTTCAGAGCAGACCAGCTTGAATTTCCTGTCAAAGAGAGCCTCGGTGTGCCAGTTCTTGTAATGGATGAGATGCAGGACCTGCTCGTAGTTGGCCATGGTGTTCACACCTGGAACACACAGAGGGGAGCTCGTGTCAAGAAGAAATTTGATCAGCAGCTTTGATTTGGTGACTGACTTCAAATCACTCTGGCTGATAGTGTGATTGCCAAAACTTTTAACGCCTACACATGTCCATTACACAAGATTATATATTTATATTTGTTTACATGTGAGGACTCATTATTGACTTCTGATGTAAAGCGGTTATTTTCTTCAAAGCTATCATTATGTCACATTTCTCCAACCAGAAACCATTGCTTTGTGCTACAGCTCTGCGGTCTGTACCGGTAACGACGAGGCCCAGGTTAGAGGAAGTCATCTCCAGGCCGTGCTGCTGCAGCTGGGGCACGTCCACCTCCAGGCTCTCGTGCTCCCCGTCCAGCTCGTCTCCCACCACAGTCACTTCACACGTGTCCAGGTTGTGCATGATCTCTTCTGACACCACAGTCTCTTGCACTTAAGGAACACAGGAGAAAAACATTTAGACTAAAGAGTTCTCGTAAAAACTCCACTGGGCCAGTACTGTAAGAGTTTGTCGTTCTTTCTGAACTGTTAGAAGGATATCCCACAGATTTAGCAGTGCGCCCCTATAACACTGTCGGACAGTTGTTGTTTTTTTAGTATCAAAATTGAGATTTCACCTGTCATATTTCATGTATTGTACTGCCTTGTTTAACCTGCCACCTGCAATACCCACAGTGCAACTCGGCTGCAGACAGTGGTCAGAGATTAGAATGCTAGTAGCAGCTAATGTAGCCTCGGTCTTCTAGGCTCAAGCGCCTTCCGCACCCCAGATTCTTTGCCATTTTCAAACTTGCAGTCTTTAGCTCCAACCGACATTGCCAAAGTGACATGACTTGAGCAGTACTAGTATGCAGCAATACTCCCAGAGACCTGTAAACAGACTTTGATGTGTAAAATTGGTGGAGAACACGCTAATAACTGAAATTTATACAAGACTACAAACACACTGTTCTGTTCTGCAGAACAACCTTTGCGATTCAAATATCTTCCTGTTCATGTGAATTTAACTGGCTACACTTTACCAATACAAAGACTAGTTAATGAGTTGCTCAAATCTTTTATTTTAGAGAGCAATAACTGGAAATAGGGGTGAGGGGTTAGAGGAGTAGAATGAAGAACTGAAGAAAGATAAGCATCCTAGATAACACAACGTGGGACAGTTTGATTGTTAGATAGTCCAGTCCAGTCCCCACACACACACACCCACACCTGTCCTGTCCTTCATGAACCACTGCAGGTTGACTACAGTTTCGTTAATAGCAAATGTGTTCCATGTTTAGTATTAAAAAGCAGTATGGTGCTACTTTGTCAGTATGTGATTAATAATATATCTTCTATCAGTGTTAAAAGAAATTAAAACAGAAGGGTACAACATGGGAAACAGCTCAGGAACTCCAACTAAATAGCCCAGCTGAGCCAGCCTGTCTTCTCCATTTTGCTTATGAAACATATTAATATTTCATGCACACACAGTTTGCACCTTTTGACTCTGTGGAGGCTCCTATTAAGTGATTCTTAGTCATCTTCTGTGACATCTTGTTTGTCGGTTGTGGAAGGTGGGGCAGGGTAATGGCAGGTAATAGCAACAGATCACTGTAAGCTCTTTTGTCCCATATGGCCTGCTGTTCACCACAGGACATCGTATCTCCTGTATCTGTGTCAACCTCAGTGCACGTCTATTGTCTCTCTTCGTCTTAGCTCATATACAAGCCTAACAGATGGCACTGCTGGTCACTGACCCCTCCCATAAAGTAGTAAACAACTTATCTCTTTCTCCGCCCCCCTCGTTCTGACTGTCCAATCTCTTCGGCCTCCAGGCCTAATCCTCACCGTCACCAGCCACTATACATCTACACAGCTATCAACAGCCATTCAGTGTCTAAGGTAATTCAACCAAGGCAACGGATGTGGCATCACCCTGCATCGCAAAGCCTCAGGAGGCACAAGGCTAAGATTACACATGTGGTAATGTTAACGTAAAAATTCAGTGTCACAATATCTATAAATTGCCTTTAACATTATCTGGGATTAATGTGTGGGTCTTAGGTGCATTTCTCTTACCCGTAGGGTCATCATCAGCTCCCTCTGCCGCTTCAGACTCCGTGTCGGCCTCCACTTCGCGGGTGATGGTGCTCACGATGCGTAGCTCGGGGAAAAGCGTCACACCTTCGTGGCTCTCGAATTCGGCAGCGCTGCGGGCGAAGTGGTCAATGCCGCTCAGGCTGATCTTGGGCTCTTCGGGCTGCAGCACCATCACGTAACCTTCAGTATCTGGCACCGTAACGCAGGACTCCTCGTTGAAGCACCTGGGGGGAGATTTAAGTTTGAATACCTGGAAAACTGGGTCTTTTGTCATTTTATGATGATGTTGCTGCTTCTCCCTCTGCTTTGAAAGGCTCCAGGAGCATTTTGAATGTGCCCTGAAGGTGCTTCCATAATCTGTTGCATGTCCGGTTGAGACAGGGTGATGGGGGAGGACAACAACACTGAGATGGACTGTATGTGTACAAACATGACAAATGAAAGTGAACAAATTCGAGCCACTTGGGCTTCAACAATGGTGTGTAAGGGGAAGGAAACGAGGAATTCAGGGGTGAACACCTACTACATTTATACCACCTTCAAAAGATTTCCACTTGAGAATCTCTGTGAATAGTAGAATTAGTCTCAGGAACAAAAAGTACTATGAATACTGTGCTCTTTTCCAGGAAGGAAAGAAACATAAAAACACATGGACATATTCTAGTTTTGTATTTGTAAACAGATGTGCTTAATAATGTGGAGAATCAGCAAGGTTAAAAAAAGTCACTTTTCATTTAACTGTGACTGCGATTTTTATACTCCACGTATAAAACGCTTCTTACATTACTTCTCCTACATTTACTAAGATGAAAGTTGTCCCCACAGGTTGAAACTGAAGGTATTATTTCATCATTTGGTCTACTTGCTCAGTTCGCCCAAATAAAACGCAGTGAAGATGCAAATTTGTGCATATGCAAATCAGAACAAATGTTAAACTCCAACACTAACTAGCACTGATATAGGAGTAGGCTCAGCAGAAACCCGAGTCTTAATATACTCATGCATCATCTGCAAATGTAATGCGGTTTTGTTATTCACATTTCAGTCTCTGAATACATCAAAGAGAACTCGAAAAACAAAACAAAAAAATCTTCCAGCTCTTCTGCCTCTGTCATTCTCCAACCGCAAAACCTTTCATGTTTACTCTCTTTGTTATGGAAATTATGTCAAACTATTGACCTCTGTTTTACCTCGCCAAACCCTCCTTACATTTAAAGTAGAAAGACGAACCCTCGCTGAATGTCTATGAGGCAGAAAGTACCTGTTTCACAAACGTTGGGCTGCCGCTGACTGGCAGACGAGGTGACACGACGCCGACCGAGCAGAAAAGATTAAAAACAACCGGTGGAGTATTTTTTAGGTTTCTGCTGCTTACTTGACGGTGGTGGAGATGCGAAGGTGCCTGATACCAGGGGTCGGGAACTGGCGGGAGTTCAAGTAGGAGATGTGCTGCATGACCTTGTCAAAGGCGTCAATGTCATCGCCCTCCACAGTCAGTGCTGACTGGTTGGGGTTGAACTCCACCTGAGAGAAGAAATCAAGGCGACAGACTGATTTGAGGCAAGATTGTCTCCTAATGCCATTATTATACTCAAAAAATGTGTTAGTTAATGTGTGCTGTCAGGGTTATACTGAGCCATTAATAAAACATGTGGCAAGCTAGTTTGAGTCATTTAACGTGTCACATACAAAGCACTTGTACCTCAAGAGGGACCTGTCAATGTTATCCATACCGCTTTTTTTGGCTGACATACATAAATACCCTATCAGTTAGAGCAGTGGTTGCAAGATTAATCTGAGGGGCTGCAAGATGCCTGACAAGACAGAAAATTATATACCGTTTCTCTGCTTTTTATAAATGACTGGACCTTTACAAACTGCTCAAATCACTCTTCAGTTCAACTAATAATTCACATATAAATGCAACCTGTGAAATAAGTTGAGAGTACACTTTGCTTCCACTCATAGGATGACAAGTCTAAAAGGTTTGAAACCACTGAGATAGACCGTCTTCTTGATGAACAAATATACTCCGATCCAGGCTGACTCAGGTTGACTGTCTTTTTGTCTCTAAAACACGTTGCCCTCCTTACCTTGACAGCTGCAGCTACCTCCTCAGGCAGCTGCACGTCCAGTCCTTCCTTGCAGGTGTACAAACAGTCGATCACGTTCTTGTTCTCCAGCTTGCCGGAGCGGATCATCAGCCCTGCTAGGTTCCCCCGGAAAAACTGAGCCATTCGAGCATTTCCACCTGGGTAGGTCAGGATAGAGATGAGGAGAAGGAAAACAGTAACACACACACACACACACACACAGATAAAAAGGTGGTTACTCAAGTGTACGTTCCACAGACTTCACCATTGTGCTGGAGATTCAAGCATGCCGTCTCAATGTGCAAAGCTGGCGTTCATGCAAGTTAGTAGGTGTGTGCCCTTACAAGGCCTGAGGCCAATGAGCGAGACTGGAGAATGATGGATGAGCTTACACACGCCTTAGACACATGCAACATCTGCATTAACAGGGTAAACCACTGCCTTACTTTGGGAAAAAATTACAACGACAAAACAAAAAAACCCACAAACTGCTCAAAATACATAAAACGATGTACTGATGTTGTGTCTTTCTGCTAAACCATAATGAAAAGTGTGTGCAACTGCAGAGTCAGAGACAAACCTGGACCCTGTGCATTTCAAGGTCCAATAGTCATCCAGTGATGTGTGTTTGCTGTATCTTTATCTGATATGGAGGAGTTACTGCTTCTGACCCAAAGGTCATGTTCTGAAAGAAGAGCCTGCTCAGAGGTTTGTGCTCATTATCAGTCTGTTTCTGTTCTGCCTATGTGAAAAACAACTGCCTGGCTGCTGCAGTGAGAAGAACGTATAAATGGAAAATGAAAGAAAAACAAAAAAGAGAACGCAGGCAGCATTAAAACTCCAATCTCATCCATACTGCATCATGCTCCAAACAGTAATGACGAAAGAAACCTTTCTGCATCTAGAATGTGTAAGAATCATTCTAGTCGAAAATGGTATGAGGATGCAATTAGCGTGGTGGGACACTGTGGACACATGGACATATCTGAGGAGTAAGGGAAAGACTTGAGCAACCTGAAGTGGGCTCAGAGACTGACTCAGTGTCATTGTCATGTCCTGAGTTGTCTGTAAAGGACAGAAACAAGAGAGCAGGGAGAGACAGGGAGGAAGGTTGAGGATCTGCGGTAAAGATTCAGATGCTACATTCGAGGTCATGGGGCATCATTTGAGAATCTAAGAAAGAGTTAATAATATTACATGCACACTACATTTTTACACAAGCACTTAACAAATATAATAAAAGATTATCAGGTAGCATTTGAGTATCGTTTTACTATTTTATACGCCAAAAATACTTTGAACATTGATACATTTTGTCACACACTAGAATCATGGCTCATTTAGTTTTACAGCACACCACCAAAAACAATTTACTGAAGAGCTTACCTTGCCAGCAAGCACCGATGGTGAGCTGAGTTTCGATCTTGGAGGCATGCAGCGGGTAGTCCTCTGTAACCAGGAAGGGCTCAAAGGTAGTTCCATCCACAAACAGAGACACAGTGGGGAACTCCACATTCAGCACATAGTGATGCCACTCTTTGTCACACGCCTGTGAAGAACACAACAGACGGAGTGAAAAGCTGAAATTGGGACTGTGGAGGTTACACAGTACACTGTAACTAACTTTATTCTTAGTTAAATATCATGCATCATTCTCTATACTTGCTGAAAGTTTGATAGTAGAAGCCACTGACCTGGTCAAGTTTCCAGTGAAACTCGGCTGGTTTGTAGTTCTCGGCCTCTGATGGATCCTGGCGGAGGAGAAGGATCAGTCTGCAGTTGTGGACGTAGAGCGAGTAGTGGTGTCTGTTCATCTCTGCAGAATAGAAAATGAGAGGGGAGATTAAGATATGAAACAGCAACTCTAAAATTTTAATGTGCAACTGAATGTGTTAATATTTGGAGGATGGGTGCAGATTTTTTTTATCCACTGCCCCAACATAAGACTGAAAAGAAAAAAAGTACCACAAAAAAATACACACAAGAGATCATTCTTATAAAGCTTATGGTATTACTGTTTCATATTTACAATTGATGACGACACGCAAGAGGGGAGTGAGTTACAAGCACAATCCTGCAGCCCTGTGCCTAATGATTCATCCATTTCTTGTTCTTCTGGCACCCAAAAAGATCATTTTAAAAAACAGTTTCAGAAGCATTTCCTATTAACAAATGTAATGTTCTCTAACCTGGAAATGCTTTTTTAGAGGAAGCCATAAAAAAACAACAGAATTCATAGACAGGATTCATCTGCACATGTAATCGTCATACCAAACACCAACTGGCTCTTAATCCTTGAAAAGATTCAAAGAATTACAGCTTTTCTCAGTATCTGTCTGTAGGCTTAGTCTGTTACAATATGTAACAAAAAAAATCAAAAATCATTTGATTTCATGCGCTCTAATCAGAGCATCAGGTCTAGATCATTTAAATGGACTGAACAGATCTCAAAGGCTGTGTCTTCTTCTCTCTTGATGCAGATAACCATCATCAGTTAATCAATAGGATTCAGGACTCTGGCCCGAGTATAATTTAGAAATATGACGGTATAATTGTACATCTATCTATATTATCCATACTAGGGGACAATCATGACTCTGAACACCTAAGGTGTGACATGTTTCAGTTTGAGTGTTTAACATTGAGTGTCACTATTAACAACAAAATACTAAAATGGAGAAGAAATTAACTGAATGTGAGACGTTTCGACAGACACTGTGTTGAATGGAGGTCATGAGTGGCGCTGAGATCACGGGTATGGGAGCTTCCTGTCCAGGGCGCAGCCGTTCTGATGTAATCCTTCTTATATAAGCAGTCGGACAGAAGCTGATGAGCTGCCTCTTGCTGGCCAGAGACTTTACAGTCAACAAGATCATGGAGCTTGTGACCACATGCAAAATTTACAACTAGTGACAAAAATGGAAAGGGCACCAACACTGATTACAGCCTCAAGACCTTTTATTAGAAGTATGTTGATAGTGATACCAGATACCAGCAAAAATGAGTATGCTACTTAGATACCAAAAGAGTTAAACACAGGTTTTGACTCCTTCAGCAGACACCAGATATTTTAATGTAATACAGGGTGGTGATATTTTCAGATAGCTGAGAGTGAATTTCTGGGCCTTATATGGCACAAGTTATGGTATGATAAGGTACATGTTGTGTGTATTTTGTGCTGTTTTAATGGGTTTCTGGCATTAATGTCCAACAGCCAAATCAGTAGTTTTTGTTTGTTTGTTTCTGAATGGTGCATGTATGCAACACCAGGAACAAGAAAATGAACTAAAATAACTTTTAGTTAATGTAGGTGTATATAGTACTTAATAAAGTATGTGTACTTCTTCTTCTAGATGTATATAGTGATCGTCTTAGTATTACAGGACCTGCCAATCAATGCGGGAGTGATAGCATGTTCATATGTACATTATGATGGGTCGGCTTCCCTTTTGTTTATATTTGACTCATGCATTCTGCCTTTTTTTATGTATGTTTATTGTGTGTTTTTACAGTTGACTACCTGGAAACCAATTTTACCGCATAAAACTAAAATTAAACAAAAATTCAAACTGGAGCTTTGACAGTCTACGTGCAGCTAATTTATTTATTTTAATACTTTTCCAGGGACGTTACCTTTCTTGTCAGAGTTGCAGAGTATAGTCTCCTTCTCATGGGCCCCGGGGCCATGTCTCATCCACACAGAGACGGTGAAGGGCTCCTTCAGGCTGGTGCTCACCAGTCCATCTGGAACCCTGATGGACTGGGTCCCATTGAACTCAAACACCTGGTCGCTGTCATGCCCGTTGTCGGTGGGCAGCCCTACCGTCCAGTTCGTGGCGCTGCTGGGAGCCGGCAGAAGTTCCACAGTGCCGGAGCTTGCCCCTAGAAAAAACAAATCAAAGAGGACAAAGGCAATTATATTGGGCACTTGTATTTATCAAAAATTAATTTTGATTCACTGCTGACAATAATCATTTCCAGTTTAGCAGCTACTTACCGCAGAGCTTGTGCAGCGACTTCTCCGAGTAGGTGTCACGGTCGCAGCCCTTCCCAATATGGTTGGTTTCCAGTTCAATATTGGCTCGGATGGACGTGATTGGCTCATCACAGGTCTCCAGGTGCATGCTGGGGAAAAGGGCCAGGCTACCTGTGCCAGGCTCATATTCAATCCTCTTATTGAAGCCTGAAAGATGAAGCGACACAGAGGAAAGAATGAAAAGATGTCCTTCAGCCTAGCAGCGAGCAGTCAATACAGGGGCTGTCAATAGTAATTACTATTAAGAATTATTAAGAAGCACGTCACTTTTTTCAAACATGATTGGCCTTGTGGCTTAAAGGAGTTAAATAACCTTTTTGATAATGTCAGCCTGTGTAGACTTTGTGTCGGTGGATCGCCTTTGTTCGACACAGAGACACACCTAAGCAGTGATGGCTGGCGTGTTACAGCGAGTAAAGGAGAGCTTTCATACCTTGCCAGCTGGGCTTGCAGGTGGGCTTGACGCTGATCTTGACCAGAACGTCCTCGGAGGCACGGTTCTTTCCACAGTCGTAGGCGGTCACAGTTAGCTTATACATGCGCTCTTTGCCATAGCTCAGTTTCTCCGTGTTTTTGATGAAGCCTGATAGAAGCAGAAAAAAAAAGACAAAACAAGAGTGCCAGGGCGGCTCTTTGTTTAATTTCAAAGCTGCAGCTGTGCTAGGAAATTTATAAAACCTTTAGAGCTGATAAGCAGCACACCAAAACAAAGAACTTCAAAATATTAAAAAAGAGCTGCCAAATAGAAAACTTTGCTCTAAAGTCCAAAACGTGATTGACTGTCAAGCTGAACTAAAATCACAATATATATTGATTGACATCACTTAAGGTCACATCGTAATATTTTGACGTCTTTTTCCTCTAGATGCTTTACTGAGAGCTATACTGAAATAATGTGTATACAGAGTCTAATAAACACACAAGTGATTTAAAGAAAGTTATGGAATTTGTCTGATTCAAACACCAACATCAATTATCTGTCACAGTTCAGTACCTTCCCCAATATTATCTATCCTCAGACTGATCGTTGTCTTCACATTATCACCTGTCTGTATTTCCCTTTTTTTGTTTTTTTAAAATAAAATCAGAGCAAGGCAACATATAAGCTGAGTTTGGATATCTGAGGCATTTTTTAACTACATCTTTAATTTAGTTTTACAAGACACAAAGATGAATAATTCTACGGTCCGACACGAATGACTGACCAACTTGGGTGACATTTCAAGGAGACTGTCATCGCCTCGCAAGGCAACAAGCTGCGGTGAATTCTAAATAACAGGCAGCACCATTGTTTACCCAGATCAATAGACAATGGGATGTGTGTCAATAAAAGTTTGGCTCTTCATGTGCTGCAGCTTTCCCCCCCCGAAAGGCACTAAGACAAGGCTGCTAAGTGTCAGTCCTTACCATCTTTGTCGATGGTGAAGGGCACATCTGGGGTGACAATCTCGTAGTTGCAGATTTGGCTAAACTGGAAAGAACAGTCGGCGTCCACTGCCTCCACCTTCAAGATGCTGTCATACTTCTTTCCCTCAATAATGGTGGCTTTGTAGGACTTCTCCTTGAAAACCGGTGAATACTCGTTGATGTCGTTCACCTGGATGTGGACTGTGGCCCTGATAGAGACACGCTCAAGTTAGGACACTGTCAGCTGGGGATGTTCAAAGACATACTCACTTATCTTAAAATTTCAATTAAACGCTGAGCCCCAATTAAGCGCGGGGTCCCTTTTACTGGGCAGGTGGGGCTACACAAACAAACGCAGGGTCTGGTTTTTATAGAAGTTCTTGGGACGTATAAAACATCTTAAAACCCAACGTGTTGCCCGCTTGAGCTAGTTCTAAGCTACCTGGATCACACATACAAATATAAATGTTAAACTTTTGTTAATATAGACATGCTACACTTCATTAAAACAGTTAGATTCTTTGAAATTCAATCGTCAGTCCATTTACGGAAACCATGAGAGCCAAAGTCTAACTCATTCAGATTTACACGCATGATCAACAATGATTGGTAATTGAATTGTATTTGATAGACCTGTTTTTCTTAAATAACATTCATACTGGTTTAAATAAACAATTTGCTTTGAATTAATAAATTGTTTAACTTAGTAAATGCACATCTACACTATCACACAGTCCTGTGGTTGGTCTTTGTTTTCACATAAAAAACAAACCAAAACAATTAGGCAAACGCAACAGAGCTGAAATGATTGTAAACTAAATTATTCTACATAAATATGAGAGGGCAGGTTTTCATTTTGTGTTTAAAGAACAATCAGTATTTATTTCTTTATCTTCTGCTGTGAGGTGAATACAGTAATACAACAGAACTGACTGCACTCTGACGGTTTCAACAGCAGTCAAATTAAACAGAATCTGGTCAAGACAGAGGAAAACTCAGGGTTCAGTTTGAGTAGAGACACTTCTGAACTGGCAGAGGTTGACTCACTTGTGAGATTTCTTCATGTTGGCGCCATCAGGTCCCTCTCCACAGTCGTAAGCTTGGATGGTGAAGGTGTGTTCCTTCTGCAGCTCGCAGTCCAGCTTGTCTTTAGCCCGGATGACCCCCTCACCAGTGGACTTGTCCAGGACCACTGCCTCAAAGGGGACATTCTGCCCGTGGATCCTGAAGCCGCAAATCTCACCTGAACACGTCAAAGAGCCAAAAGGGGGATTTTTCTCAGATTAACTGATGACAGGGGTGAAAATTTTATGGTTCAAATGAAAAATTATGTTAACAACAAAACCAAAACTTCACGCAAAAAAGAAAAAGAAAGATCAGCCACAGGTTTTGGGTGCCAGGGAGTTGTAGATTGGGGTGGGTGGTGTCTGTGGAGGAAGCCCAAAAGCACTGTCATATGGGTGAGTACTTGGGGGGGTTGGGAGAGGGTGTGGGACATTTAGTATCATAGAAGACAGAGTGTCTTTTCCAAGCCACTTGAAAACATTGCATCCAGTCATGCAGGCAGAAACTGAAAAGATGTGGACAGGCATTTCACAGGAGTACTTAAAATATTACAAAGCAAAGTCATGAAACCAAGCCCAAAATGGAAGTACACAGAGTACAGTATTTGAAGTGAAGATCAGTTATCTCTGTATTAAAATTACAGCCTATCTTATGATAGAAATAATAATAAACAGAACCAAAAAGCAAAACAATATTTTAATCTTCAAAATAGAGCACTATAGCATTGTAATTCTCCAGCACCCAATTATTCATCAATACCCAAAAACTTCTGTGAAAGATAGAAAAACTCAACACTTCCGAAAATATATTATTTATTAATTAAAGAAAGTCTTCCTGTTTAATTTTGCCTCTTGCCCAAAACTACTGCATAATGAGTCCAAATAAAAAAAGAAATCATAGAGAATGTAACCAACAGTTTTCAAAAAATAAATAAATAAATAAATACTGGATGAGAACTGGGGTTAGAAATATCAACTTGCTTGACATCCACATCAAATGACAACTGCAGCCATGCTAATGGTAGAGATTAGTGGTGGAGAATTAACTCAACAGATCCACTGAGGCAAAGATGCGACAACAGAAACTTTGTAGCAGAGAGAGAGTTTGCATTAGTTAACAATCTCAGCAGCTTTCAGTTGAAGACTTAAATGTCAGAAAAGTCCACAGGAGTCACTGTACCTGCATCGATCTGATAGATCCGAGAGGCACCACAAACGTAGAGGATGCTTTTTAAGACGTTTACAGAACTTTTATCTTTAAATACCAATTCTAGTGTCAATTTGTGCTCCAATTTCGATGTGTGTGAAATCATCATGTGTGTCCTTTTATAATGCACATTATGAAATGTGTTAAAAATTGGCTTTTCCTTCCGTATTGTTTTAACTGAAAGGACTGGATTAGACAAAATGGCAGCAAAGTGACTGAAAACTCCTGTTTTAAAGCAGCTTTCTGTTTCCTGGTGACAGCTGAAAAACTGTTAGGGTCTGCAAACTGCAATGGATGTCTCATGCACAGATATTTCTAAGTACTGTCAGCCCCACATCACACTTTTCATCCAGCTGCTTTGGAACTCCAAACAATTCAGGGTGAGAAAAACAGAAAAGCTGAGAAAAACCAAATGGGGAGATTACAGAGCATGGCGGGAATTTCTGTGTGTGGATGCTGCTCGTTGCGTTAGTGGGTTAATAGTAACAACTAAGAACAAGGCAGAAGAAAGAGCCCAAGATCACCTTCTTCAGTGAGGGTCACCTCAAAACTCTCTACAAGGAAGGGAGAGAAGATAAACCCAGATCAGTTAAAAGAAAAGTTAGAAGCTCAGAGAAAACACACAGAGGACAGGAAGGAAACAAACTCTTGCTATAAGCTTACAAAATCGCCATCAGAGAAGCTCGTATCCAGTTTCTCATAAGCAAAAAGTCTTCTGCCAGTTGAAAAAGAAGGAAGCATTAAAACATTCATGGAAAGCCGGTTTTATTAATTGCTCAACAAATCCTTTCAGAAGAAACAACTAGTCAAAATCAGATCATCAAGCAAGCGACAAAAATCGAGAGTCTTTCTTTCAACATGTTCATCGACACTGCACATACATTTTTTGGAAAACTAGTTGATGGACTGATCAATTAAATTTGATGGGAATTAAAAAAGACCTATAATAAAGATAAGAAAACTTGGGAGTACAAATTAATAAAGTGGTGAAGTTTATAGCGTCCTTTTCTGCTAAAGCCCTGTCAGGGCCTCCAGCGGGTTGGATGTGGTCGTTTTGTTTTCACCTACTAAACAATTAGAAATGGATTTGCCGTTAGGGGCTGCTGTTCAAAGCCAGTCATGCAGTGGGAGTTATGGGCCTCCGTGTTCACCACAGACCTAATGAGCAGCTCACACTAGGGCTTTAGGAATTCCCCAGCTTTTCACTCGTCACACGGGTCTCTCAGCTTGGGGTCGGGTCAGCCATCATGACGATTAACATATTGATTTTACAGTCTTGACCTGCAGTGGTCATTTAACCATTGCTACTTAATAAATAAAGTGAATTATAATCTGCGAAGACTACTTGGCTAATAGGTCAATAAGCTGCATATTCTGGCAGCTGTGTAACCCATTTGCAGGAATTGTTTTGCAGAAACAAGGATATTTTCTTTATCTAATGTTCCTACATGAATCAAATAACTCAGATCTGGTAGGTAAATGCTCCCTGCTTTGTGTTCCTCACTTGTTTTCATCCATGAACACTGAGCTCATTTTCAAGTTAGCAAGGGCTTTGATTTTGACTATTTCAGCTCAGATCGACCTGGCTGAACTCACCATGGACATATGCGCAAACACACAGAAAGACACGCTTAAAGCCAGTCCCACAGTACACACAAACTTGCACAGAGGCTCCTCATTCCTGGTAAATATTCACCTAATCACACTGGTCTGACCAATAAGAGCCTCTGATTGGGCTTCACTGGCCTGTGGGTCAGCTTTACAGTGAACCTTGTTTGTTGGCACAGATGGACCGGACTAGAAGGAGTCACCCCTGCTGCCACGTGAAGCCAGATTGCTCGCCCTGTCTCGAGAGAGAGAGCTAGTTCGCAGGGACACGCAGTCTGTTTGCAAAGCACTGCTCATCAAAAAAGGGAGCCCCAGCTTTAAAGAAGTGGGAGCACCATGCTCTGTATACAACGCTAATTTACTGTGAAAGGAGCCACACATCATGCAGAGAATGGCGTACTATGCAATTCTCTGCCCCACAGAATGGATAGGCCTCTTGCTGAAGTTTGTCCACTTTAAAAACTGTCTGCTGCCAGGCCGACAATCAGCTCGAGAACCATAGCATTTCACATAACTTGAAGAATATTATTTGGTATCACCTCTGACAGGCATGTAGATGTTAAGGACTCACTTGCTAAATCAGGAGTTAAATCTGAGATAGTAAAAAAAATAGGCCATTTCAAGTGGAGTGAGGGCGCTGAGTGTGAAGGGAGTAGCAGACAAAAGATCACACAGCTCATGTGATGTGAAATGGTGGGAAATCATTTCCAGTGCTGTGGTGCTTTGAATCCTGGCCAAAGTCAATCCTGATGTGATTAAAACCCCCCAGAGCTAATGCTGCCGTGGTACATAAAGCACACTAATTGTGCCTCTCCACTGGGAGGGGAAAAAAACTAAAAACATGAAAGAGTATTTTCATCTGAATATCAAAAGAGCCAATCTGGAGGATGTGGTAGCCAGCTGTATGTCCATATGACAGGCAGGTCAAAAAAATATATAATGCACTGAGTCACATCGCCTGCTACCAGAAGTGCATGAAATGATTATTCAACAATGATCAGAAGTTAATCCCTCCTTCAGGACCGAGTCACTGAACAATTGATTCATACAAGTGCACAAGTAATCTAAAATATAACCTATTGTACAGAAAGACTTGACAGTTATAAAAAACAGTGAAGAGAGTATTAACCATGACATGATATGCTGAGACTAGATTTAGGGTTGTACTTCCATGTTGAGTAAAGCTGTTTTTGAATAATAATAATAATAATAATTAGTTCAGTTTATAAATAATCCATAAGAAAAGTGACTACAGATATTTTATGTCCTTTTCACACATGAACGGTTTTTCTGCATCCGTGTAACACAATCTCAAAGCTTTAACGGCCCAGAGTACTTTTATTTAGTGAAAAGGAGAGGAGAGTAATTCCAAGTAATGTGAAGCTGAGGGAGTAAAAGAAAAGCAGCAACAGCATTAAACCTCCTCTCTCACCTGCGTAGCGTAGAGGAGCATCCTTGTCCAATGCAATTAGAGGGGGGTCCAGAAGTACTTTGTCATCATTTTCCGTTATGATCCCGTGGTACGTCGTCTCGATCCATGGTTTGTGCTTATTGACTATGAGAAACAGAGAGAGGGAATGTCAGTGTCTATAAAAAAAAGAAAGGTCTTTACAAATCATTTCTGTCCTCAGGTGAGATGTCTTGATAGGCAAATTATTTTTACCTCACCAGCACTAATTAGAAATTTTGATCTTTTTTTTTGCGTGCCTTTAATAATCAGATTTCATTTGTGTTTTCTCAAATTGCTAGTTTGGCTTTTATCTTCTCCCCTAATGCAGCTAAAGTACATTTTTAATGAGGTTTTGGATGCTTTTAAAATTATTTTTAGAAGTACCGTGAGGACCAAGTATGTGCAGGGTTTCAGACAAAACTACAAATCAGAATCACATCATTCCACATCATTCCATCCTAAATACAAGTTATATTGCTTGTATATTTATCCAAACTGAAGACAAATTCGTTCAAGATGATTTTATGATAGCAATTTCTACACCAAGAGACAGACAGAACCACAACCCGTATCAGTTAATGTGCTTTGACAGGGGTATCACAAAGATGATAAAGGCTCTGGCTTTGACTTTCTGGCCGGTTTGTGTAGCTGTAGCTGGGCCGTTTACAGCTTTGTGTGCTGGTCGGCCTGGAAAGCATCCCAGCTGCAGACAGGACTGTGTTGTAGCTTGCGGCTATAGAAAAAGCTGCAGTGAGTGACATATTTGGGCTGGCTTTGAAAACAGCATTGACGCAGGGGAGATGCGGCTCTCTTACAGCCAACATGTGCTCACTCCAGAGCAAAGGGGAGAGGATGGCATTCTGTGCTACTGATCTGCAAAGGTGACGCCAGCTCTGGCAGACAGCGCGCTGAGGGGGACAGAAACAGGGGGAAGTAAGCGGACCAGGCACATTTACTACACAGCAAATGACAACTCTTTGGCTTTATTTTGAAATGTTTTAGTTCAGGCATATATAAAAAAAAATAGATAAAAGATCTACATTTAGCTGACGCTTTTATCCAAAGTGACTTACAATTGCTATACATGTCAGAGGTCGCACACCTCTGGAGCAACTAGGGGTTAAGTGTCTTGCTCAGGGACACAATGGTGGATGGGTCACAGTGGGGGATTGAACCCAGGTCTCTCACACCAAAGGTAGGCATCTTATCCATTGCGCCACCAAGTCAATCACAGCTACACACTGCAACTATTGCATAATTGCTTTACGCAAGACCTATTTACAAGCAGCTCCATTATTTTTTACTCTTCAGTCATAATGATTGAGTCAAACCTTTGAAAGTCTGCAAGTATTTTCTCAAAGGAGAACAGGCAATATTTTGTTTTTTGAAGCTAATAAGAAATCCAGAGCTTGTTTAAATCATCTATTCTGTTCAGAGATGCTGCCCCTCTGCCCTCACCTAATCCCCACCATCCTTTTTCAGAAGGTCATTTCATCACAGTGAACAGTCTGATATATCCAATGTGGCCATAGCATGCATTCAAGCTAATCCATGCTAACAATGAACTGCAGCAGTAGCCTAAACAATCAACGGGCAAGAAATTGGCCACAGTACAACAGGTATGTGGCCCAAATGTAATGTAGGAAACTGTTACATAAATAATCCATGTGGGGTTAACAATAATCAATTTAATGATTTATAAAGCATCATAACTTGACAGTAGTTATATGGAAGCTTACGTTTTGATTTCTGAAGGAATATTTCCATTTCAGATCTCAGGCAGTGGGAAATAAGCTGTAAAAGTCTGTTATTATTATTCTTAAAAACAAAATATAAACAAAGCTACAACTGATGGCTAAAGTCTTGATTAATGCTGGCATTCTGTGTGAGGACGTCTGACATAAATATAAGACTTTTAGCAAATAAGTCAAACATCAATTACATGTCTAATGAGTACTTTCTCCTCTTAATTATACCACTGCAGGAAAAGGTTGCCCTGCCGAGCTTCTAAAATAAAAGAGCCTCCAACAGCTATGCTTGTTATTTTAAAGGCCCATTTATCATACTACCAAAAGCCACCCATGAGCAAATCATATTTCCAACTTATTCATGCTATTTTAGTAGGAAATCCCAAGGAGCACAAACCGATATGGGTTTTTCAATGATGCAGTTGCCATTATTTTGAGAGCAGGGCACCCAATGGCCAATATATAGCCGATATCAAAACTAAGTACTAACTCACGTATAATTCCATTTTTCCATGCACAGTACAATCTAATATACATGGTTATTTTAGCCAGTATCGTGGCGTTTTAGATGTATTTTTTATTAATTAATGAAATCGAAAAATACATTGGGTTATGCTGTAGATTACAGAACGTGACTGGTGTTTACGGGAGAATGGGGTACAGTTTGTCCGAAGTGACGTCATTCAACTACCCAACAGTATAATAATAATAATAATAATATATTTAATGGTAACCTGTAATGGTTTAAGGTTAGATGTGCTTTCTTTTAGGATGTTATCTCGGCCTCGTGAGTGGGGGTATCGGCCAATGCTGATCATCTCAAAATACCAAATATTGGTCATTATATCAGTTGGCAGACTAGTCTATCACTAATCCAAGAGCACAATGCTTTATTTTTGTATAAATGCACACTGATAGACACGTTTTATTAGATACAAAAAACTATGCCATAAAACTAAACTGCAATTATTGTCAGATTTGAGCTTTGTCAGACAAAACAGGCAGTTACTCAAATATGTATTAGGCCTTTATTTATTATTAGCACCACCGTGTAATAAGTATATCATGTGCCAGACTCTTCTTCTGTTGTCTGAAAGAGAAACGGTGGTTAAAATTGCTCAATATTACTGGCTTCATTACTATGTGAAGCACATCCTCCCACCCACGTTTATCCAATTACCAGGGCACAATGACACATTCTGAGCACAACATTCATCTCAACAAGCAACATTATTTAAACAGACAGTAGATTAATTACTGTGTCTCTGCTGCAAAATGTGGGTGCCATTCAAGTATTTGCAGAGGCTGCCAGAAAAAAGCCTTTTTGGCACCTGCGCGGTCTTAATACTCTCACAACTGAATATATGGCCTGCAATGTTGCGTAATTTAATGTCTGAAAATCAAAGTGATACACATCTTTCATTAAACACCTAAATATTACAAAAACTTTTATTAGTCAGTTCTCCTCAGCTGATCCAAAAAGTTCCTTATGTTACATAATACACCCATAATTAATGGCAGTAAAACAATCTTCACTTTACATTTAAGTCCTACTTACAATATGTTTTGCATAGTGAAATTCAATCCACAACCGTGTCATGCTGCAGAAAGCCTACATGGCACACATTCATCATCTGACTAATGGGAAGACGCCTGATGTTCAATAACACAATCTGTGCTAATAATTATATTATGAGCTTCAAACAGTAACCGGATAAAAGAAAACCGACACAAGCATAAATACATGATGAGGATGTTTTCAGACGACTTTAAATGTCAGTCTGCCAAATCTAATTTCAGCGAAGCAAATGACTTGCGTTGTGTCTTTACAGAATTTTGTGTAATTCTCAGTGATTACACGATCAATGAAAATTAATTACAAGCTACTTGCACAGGATTGGTGCATTGTGGGCTCTGTAATGAATGAATGTAACCCACCAAACATTTTTTTCTTACAGAGTTATCCTCAGACTGAAGTACACATGCTTTCAATGCACAAAGTAAACATTCTTCCTCTATACCTTATGGCTTAATAAATAATATGTGTCACCTGCAGCATTAAATAATGGCGTTATTTTACAATTGCTAGTTCCTTGGCTGAAATATATTTGCTTGTCATTGCAATTATCTATCTATCGAGACAGAGAGAGACAAACCACATTTGTCAAAAAAACAAAACAAACTCTGTTATGACAAGATGATTCAAAAGTTACACAAAAAGTTCTATTTTAAGTGGGGGCTTTGCCAAAATGAAGACTTTTTCACTAAATCTATTACACATATTGCAGAACTGCACAATGATTTGATATCACTTTACATCTCTGTTTAAATCTTGTGCTACAGAAGAAGTGCTTAGTAAGAACAAGTTGCTCGGTTTGCCAGGCATTTGGTATTGATCAAGCCCAATAAATCGTCTTAGCGGAGCGTCTCGTGGCCTGAAGTGAAGTGGGTGTCTTTAGACAGATTGCCAGGCCAGACTACTACAATAATCTGCTTTAGCTTCCACAGAGTCAGTTACTGTTGGCCAGGTCACATGTGGGCCTCACATTTGTCCATGGCCTTCAGTACTGAGGTGCACTAAACCACTGCCGACACTAAATGGTCCAACATTAATCATCTATACTCTCAAAGCTCCTGCAGCTTTATGCAAAACATTTTCGGTCTTATCCTGACCAATTACAGATAAACTAACCAAGTCTGTCTGTGACCTTCCTGTCTGGTCTGGTTAAATGAGATTTCCTTTAATCTAAAAAGCACTAGGTATATTTGTCTAACATGCATCTCCACCTTGACTAATGAGCAAGTTTTTAAAAAGCAATTTGAAAAAGAGTTACTTTAGAAAGTGCATTTCATCCACTTTAAACAAGCACACCAGTTAAATACCTGCTGGCACAGGAAAACTAAATGTGGTATTTTGGAAGTCAGACAAGTCCGTCACAGCCAATCAACTTTGAGCTGTTAAGACAAGCAAAGTCTGACAGAAGAGACCAATTAGCAAAAATCAATTCAAAGAAGACCTAATGCAGATATTCTCGCAGATAGCAAACTGCAGAGCAGAAAAACGTGACACAGTTAGGTTTGTAGGTATGAGGACAAAAGACACCATTGACACATTCAAAAGCAAACTGCACCACCACTGTGCATCGGCGTTTAAATGGAAGCCCCTTTCACTCACACACACCTCTCATGAAATGAAATCTAAAACACGATTTTATTCAAACTGTGAAATTCTCACATACATTGTGTGAAATTGCCAACAAGGCCCTTTTGACAAGACGGCTTCATCATCCCCCTGCAAGCCTGCAGTGAATGGGAAGAACATTTGTTGTGCCGTGACTTGCTTGGCAGAGAACATTT